ATCTTCATGTATCACCAAAGTCTGAGTTTGCATCACAGAAATAAAAAAGAAAAACCTACAATAGGCTTGTACTTAGTTCTAGGTGCAAGACAAATGAGAATTGTGTAACAAGCTGCCATGTTATAGACATGAGACTAGATAGATTGCGCATGACACTTAAAAAATAGTTTGTAATAACAAATTTGCATCAACTAAAAGTTTCAGAGCTGTCTATTTCATTAGAACAGGCTTGTTTACAGAGTATAACAGACCTTAAGAAGATCATGTGCATGTCAAGCATTTTATTCAGTGTTATACAGTGTGTGTAGTACAACCTGAATGCATGTGGCATTGTCACTTAGTTTTATGCCAGCTGCAATAAGCAATGCTAGGAGTCTGGTGTATGTGATGAGCTAGTGCACACTCAAAAAACAAGACTTGTGCTTGAATTTTCTGTACTCTGCTAACTGAAAAACCACGACTCCAACAGGTAAGATGCTGAAAAAGGCAGACACACCTACCTGGCTAAAACCATGCCAGCCACTGTATCCGTTCCACAGAAATTGACAAGATGAGCTGCACCACCGAGGGATGCTGACTGCAAGAATAACATTTTCATTAAATAATGAGCATCAATATAAAATTCTCAAGTTAGAGAATTATAATTGACAGAGGTTTTTTCCAAATTAAAAGGAAAAAGTACTTCATTTTTCCTTTCATGTAGATTAGATGTAATTTAAAAATTCACATGAATAAGTTCTTTGCATAAATATGTCACCTGACCTACTTTTAATTATTAAAAATGGTCATGGTTTACAACAGCAGTGCTTTCAATAAGATTTGAAATAGGTGGCTACCTCGGTACAACACCCGCCGGAGAGCAACTTGATTGCAACTTAGCGTGGCGACTGCGACTTGAGCGCGGTGAAATGTACCCGGCGACTCGCAACAGAATAGCCGCCGGAGCTCCGGCGGGTGCCAGGTCTTATTGAAAACACTGCAACAGAGACCAGAAATGTCATATGGACAGCCTGCCACAATTCATATTAAATTGAACTGAAAAATTGAGTGACTCAGTTGACAGACACTGTTGAAAAATTTCCCTTCTGAGGTTTAAAGTGCCCCATAAGGCAATATAAACTTAAAATTACAAGACCTTAAAGTTACCTCAACTGATGTGCTTCCACGGAAACCAAAATCATGTAGTTTAAATGGGAGTCCCTCCAAATTGTCTGCTGTTTCTAGAAGGTACTAAAAATCGAAACAATAGCCAAAATACTAATTAAGAGCAAGGCTGTTTTTCAGTCTTGACTGACCGGAAAAATGAGTTGTATAAATTTCTAATCAAACAACTCAGATTTTTGCAATTAAAATACATGTCATTCATAGGGAGAATTAAAAACGGAGATTTTACTGAAAATCATTTGAAAAACTAAAACTCTTATTTTTGAGGTAATGATCAGAGTTATGTGTTTGAAAATTTAAAATTCTGACTTTTTTGGTAAGAATGGGAGTTCCTTATAAGAAAAATTAACAACTAGGATTTTCATGGTAAATAATCAATTTTGTTTCTTTGAAAAATTAACAATTGATTCAAGTATTTTGTGTTAAAAACCTGAGACATATACTTTGAAATTAAAGAAGTTTTATTACAACTGCAGTTAAAATCCAAGTTGATTTTTGAGAAAATTAACAACTAGGGTTTCTGCATAAGAAATCTGAGCTGTGTATTTAGGGATTAAAAACTTGGGAGTTTTAGAGGAAAAATTTGAGATGTTCATGAGATCAAAATTTCAATTGAAAAAAAATTATTGCTATACTCTATGAGGCACAGTAGTATTTGTTAGTCAACAAATTAAATGAAGTACTTCAGCTATAATCTGTTTCTGGGCTCTTGAGTTTGTAGCAACTGTCATGGGATACCAGCATTGAACAAGTAGCGTCTACAGGGAGAAAAGCAGACCATGTCAAATGTTTGAACCTTGGACTACTACTTTGAATCCACAAATCGATTATTAGAAAACCCAGGGATTAGATGGGAAAGAAAATGTCACATGTTCTACAAGCGACCACCTGTGCCAAAAAAAATTTCACACATTCATTTCTCTATTAACACTACTGATTGGAATAAGTATGTGTAGCATCATTTCCAGTGAACTGATATCTGACTGCTTAAATCATGCAACCTTAAATAGTTAGAACTTTTGGCACTCTTTTCATTATTTGATTGATTTCCTGAGTTTCTTGCCCATAGATAAGTTGGCAGAGAAAGTTGTTTGCTTGAGCTGGAAATCTACTTGTCAAGCACAACCTGTGGAAATCAAACTATTACATCCTTCTAACCTCAACCCAGTTTGTGAGCCAGGGACAGTGGGGATCTGTATTTTGAACTGTAAACAAAACTGAAAAACACAAGAAAAGTTAACTTTCTGGGTCTACTTGTTCAAACTGCCATCCAACAGATAAATCACAATAAGCAGATAAGCAGTAAGAAAAATTACTGCTTTATTCACCACATAGAGATTTATATTAAGTGGATAGCAGTGTCCACTCTTGGAACAACCAGAGCCTGGTGAACATCTACTCTGATACAGCTCTAGAAACCCTCTATGTTTTCTCAGTTTGCATTATTAACTCAGTAGATAAATATATCTTATTAACCAAGTGTGAGGACCGTACTGGGAGAATATCGGCCCGAGGTCTTGACAGTATGGACCGAGCGCAGTGAGGTCCGTACAAAAAAGACCAAGGGCCGATATTCTTCCAGTACGGTCCCGAGCAAGCTTGGTTAATAAGCAATTTATTATACGACTGAAGCTCAAAGGGATGCAAGTGCGGTATCATTTGGGACCATTTGGGACAGTGCCCGGTCCAATACTGAGAGAATATTGACCGGCAATAGAGCATTTTGATTGGTTGATTTTAATTATTGGCTCTCTGACTGCCTGAGTCGTGTAATAAAACCAAATTATCTCTGAAAGTACAAGACTTCAATGGACGACAAATTTGTCAGTTTTAAACAAATTTCTTAATTAAAACACTAAAAAATTTGATCAATAGGCCATTTTACAGTTGTGTAATTAGTTGTCAAGCCTTTGATTCAGAGTGAGGCTGAAGGTGTGATAGAGACCTGTATCTAGTTAGCATGATAACAAAGTGATTTACATTCAAAAGGCAGCAAGGTTTGTATCATAACAAGGTCACCCTCAGCCGCACTCCCATTCAAAAGGCTTGGCAATCAAGCACACAACTGTAAAATGGACTATTCTGAAAAGCTTTTTAATGCATTGTTAATTCATTTCCACTCACCAATCCCGGTAAAAAATCTGAAGGGAAAAAAAAAATGAAGGAGGGGTTTATCCTTACCATTCTTAACAGGAACCACTGAACCTTCAGGTACAGCTCTTATCCTGAGAGGAAACTTTCCTTCATGCTTTTCCAAGATGTACTTCCAACCTTTAAAACACAACATTAAAACACTTATTATTTTCAGCAGCTGTAGGCTAGGTGTCCTTATTTTACTCAATAGGGCAAGATTAGGTTACAGCACAGGTTAAGCAAGACAGGCAAAATACAATTTCAAAACAGTAGAGGACTTATTTTTACCTTTTTGATTTTCAAGAATTCCAAGCAATTTCAGGCAGAAATAAGAGGTATAACAGACAATAAGTTTTACTGGTTACTGCGTGAAAAGGAGAACACTTTTTAACCTATGCTCTAGTTTAGGGCTTCTATAAAAAAATTAAATAAATAAACAGTTTTCAACGTGGAGAAACACTTAGCTAGAAGCTTAAGTTTACAGGTTTTCCACCAAACAACTGAAACAAATATTTCAAATTGAAAATAACATTATTAAGAATCCCAACTGGACGAAGGCAAACCAGTTGGCTATATTACAAGTATGGCCGAGGATTTGAAACTTGGGGCTACCGTGAAACAAATCCAGGTAGTGGCCAGGGCGGGACTTGAACCCGGGAGTGGCGGATCGTAAGTCCAACACGCTGACCACTCGACCCTGCGGCCTTCTACAAGGGCTTCTATGGATCCATGCGGAACAAAAATTTAATGTGGTAAGGGTTTACTGTGATGAAGTGCATAATCTGTTTTTTTTTTAATTGCTTTTGACCTTTAAGTCAATCATTAAGTGTGACTAGAAGTTTAGATTTTGTCCAATTAAATAGTGTAAGGAATTGCCAAATTCATCTATACCTGATTCTAAATAGCTGGAATATCTATAGATATGCCATTTGGTAACTTAATGAGTTTATTTGCAGCCAGTCTGCAATCAGCCCCATTTTCAAACCAATTACTTCATTTATTTTCCAAGTCCTCAGTGACTTTTAATTCTTTCAATTACTTTTCTTGCCTACCTGACATTCTATAATATATATATCTTATTAACCAAGCGCGAGGGCCGTACTCGGGGAATATCGGCCCGAGGTCTTGACAGTACGGACCGAGTGCAGCAAGGTCCGTACAAAAAAGACCGAGGGCCCATATTCTTCCAGTACAGTCCCGAGCAAGCTTGGTTATTAAGAGATTTATTATACAACTGAAGTTCAAAGGGACATAAGTGCAGTATCATTCGGGACCATTCGGGATGGTGCCTGGTCCAATACTGAGAGAATATTGACCGGCAATAGAGCATTTTGATTGGTTGATTTTAGTTATTGGCCCTCTGACTGCCCAAGTCGTGTAATAAAAATTAGTATCAAATGTTTATTTATCATAATTTATGGTGAGTTGTTACTAATAAATGACCAAAAGTGTATCAGGACAAATGAAGATAAAAGGAAATTATACATGATAAGTTAATACGTGCTCACCTTCTTCATTGAACAGATTATAACCAAAATGTAATTTGTAGAATTCTGTTGCCTGCTGAATTTTTTCTGCTGTTACCACTTGACCCACTAGCCATCTCTATAACACAACAAGTCAATGAACCAATAGACAGAATAATTAAATTAGAATGAAAGGCCCCAGAATTTGTACAAATACAGTTGCGAACTTAAACATGGAAAGATTTCCATATAACCCCATACATTAATTATGCATTCCATTTCATTAAGACCAAATATAAACTGGTTTCTTTGCAACACTCTACAGATGCATAATTAATGTTGGGGTTATATGGAAATCTTTCCCTCGAACACTTTGATTTGCATTTTCGGACGTCACGAACAACACTTCACCATTTCAAGCACATTAGTCATTACAGGCCAATCGTTTTGAGTAACAAGGTGCCTGTGGGAGGTATATGAATGACTGCATAATTCACAATTCATTCAAATTAAGCACAACTTGTAGGCTCGCACCGTTGCGTGACGTGACGACTAGAGTTTATGACGCTAAAAAATAAAAGATTTGCAATGAATTATTCTAAAATAAATACTTTCTGCCCATCGATTCTATTTAAAATTCTCAATAACAGTACTAAGCGATAAAAGTCACAGAGTTTGCGCCATCAAAGCCCTAGAAACAAATCGCCAAACCGCGAAATCAAAAGTGAAAGCGTTTTTCAAAACAACACACCTTTATCAGGTACTGCAAGCCGAAGAAACACACTTCTGGAAACTTTCCTCCTCTACTTTCAAAATATGAGAATACTATAGTCGTCCCTGAAGGATACTGCTTATGATGAGAAACCTGTTTCAGATGAAGACAAAACATTCGGAAACAAATCGTTCAACTTCTGGAATCAAACCGGAAGCGTAAAATGTTACAAACTAAAGCATTAATGACAGTTTCTGCACTACAAGGCAGGTAAAGAGTACAAGGAGGCTTAAATTGTTTCACCGTGAAATACAACCTCTTGAAAGACTTTCCTTACTTTGTAGGAGTCTGTGATTAACAGTATGTTCTCTGGATCCAACTTTTCCGCCATCTTGACCGGTGAACCTGTAGTAGTTCTTAGTTTCCCACACTTTCACGGTGCGCTCGGCCTTCGAGTCATTCCTCTCCTTTCGTTTCAAGTTTCTTTGCGAAATAACTATTCAAACGACCCCGATGCATGTTTTCTTGTTTGTTTGTTTGTTTGTTTGTTTTTTTTTTACTTTCTTGCTGATACATAAGCTTTGAAAAAGTGTTTTCTTTACGTTTTATGCCAGCCTGTACTAGGCGATTAGTTGGTAAACGAAGTGCAGTAGTAGCACGGAACGAAAACATCAAGGTTTTTAGATAGTCCCGATCGGCGAAAAAGAAAACTGACGGGCATTGACTCACCTTTTTGTCAAAACCTTTCGTCATGTTCCTGAGGTAGTTTCTGTCTTCCTTTAACCCTAATATACCCATGGAATATTTTGGCTTCTCTTCTGCCAGTAGGTTTATTCTTCAGGAGTTTTGATAAAAATACAGTAATTATACCATTAATGACGCCAAATACAACACTCTGGAATATAACTTCGAAAGAGAACATGATGATCAAAACATGTTCGTCTGAGGTTTGAATAATGTGGTATAACGTGATAAGATTGAGTATCCTTATTTTTGGGGTTATTTTAAGTAACTCGGTTTCAGCTGAAATGAAACATTCTCAATTCCGGCTATGGGCTTGGTTTCATGTCAACCTGTTTATCATCAGTTGATAATGATGGCTGGTTAACCTTAAGAAATTTTAGTGGAAACACTCCTTACTTCCGGCTATACGCGTGGAATATTTAAAGAGTAACTGTGATGTTAGGATTGTGGTTTGACTCAGTCACACTCTTTCTAACTTCAGTTGATAGTGATGACTTATGACGTTCCATAACCTTTAAAAATTTCAGAGGAAAAATTTCCACTTCCTGCTATGCAAAGGCGTGGAATAGTGAATTGAGGGGCTGTAACGTATGGGCTTGGTGCTTGAGACTCTCTCGATCTCTCTAACTTCATTTGACGGTACTTCCTTCGATGTAATGATTCAAATGAACCTAAACAAATTGCGGTGGCGAATATTCCCCTTCCGGCAATATGGGTAGCATATTTAAGAAACTGATGGTTGGGCTCGAGGCTTTACTTTTGACGATGCTACATTTTTGCGTTGTGGCTCGAAAGCCTTTTTAAGTGGTACACGACAGACTGTGGTGGTAATTATATAATTGTTGGATACAAGAATGTGATTGAAAGGGAGTAATGGCTCGGCACCTTACGACGACATGATGACGCAACGAAGAAACAACACCCCAACAAGACACCATAATGGGCAACTCAATCCTTTCTTAATGCACTGCATAATTATTTTCCTTGTGGTGCGATTTCAATGTTTGCAAGAAAAAACTATTTAAGCTCACAGGGTCATTGTAAAATATTTCCGTAATGGGGTAATCTGAACACCTAGAAAAACTGTATTCGATACCAGAAAATGAGAGCCACAGAAAACGCATCTACAGTAAGAAAATTACTTCTAGACAGTCTGAGTCAACTATACTAAAAAATTCTGCGTTATCGTGCTCTGAAATGATAATCTTTATACAGAAACACCATGCAAGTCTTTATTGACACTCCAAACCATCTAGCTAGTAGAGAACATTTTTAACACACGATTCAATTGTATTGAACCAAAAAGCCACAGAAAGTACGGGAATCCAGCGTCTCACTTGGTCAAAAAATAAAAATATTGGATATACGCTCTGCAGAACTGCTTGCCAAATTATGTCATATGAAGTGTGTGCAATTTTCTGATTGGTTGACGAGAATTGCATGCACTTTGCAAGCGTTTGCACAAGGATTTAGTGACCAAATATGGCGCTTGTAACCACAGGGGGCGCAGACAAGCGACGAGTCTGGTTGTTTATTCGAAATATAAAGGAATGTATGGGAGAATATTGAAGAGTCTTATCATCGTAAACTTATATCATGAAATGTCTGAGTTAAAGCTCAAAATAAATGTAAACCTACCTCACTTGCTGTGTATTGTTACTTCTTATGACGTATAGTGACCGTCGACGCAAAACCCACCAAATCGCTCAAATTCGCCATTTAGAGCCACAGAAACGACAATACACAGCAAGTGAGATAGGTTTACATTTATTTTGAGCTTTAACTCAGACATTTCATGATATAAGTTTACGATAATAAGACTCTTCAATATTCTCCCATACATTCCCTTATATTTGGAATAAACAACCAGACTCGTCGCTTGTCTGGGCTCCCTGTGCTGTAACCATCATAAAACTGCAAATATTGTAAATGAAAATAATCATTCTGATGATGTCCTGTCTGTATAGCACAAATGATTCTCAAAAAATAACGAGTACTAAATGCTTATACAGGATGCTAGAAAACAATTCATATGAACAAAAGAGCCATGTTGTGATGGGCAGGCTTCAACCATAAGTTACACAACAGTCGGTCTAAAACGTTAAATAAAACTTAAACCTACGTGCAATTCTTCTGTACAATACTCAAACACATAATAATAAAATTAAATATTTGGCGCAGAGCACATCTTATCACTTAACCTTCGAATCATTTGGGACTCTTGGCAAGCTTTATAGGTTTTTAGAGTCCTTTTTAGAGAACGAGAACCACGCTCAACACTCGAAAATTCAGGGAGTTGACACATTCAATTTCGTACAGAAAACTGTGTGCGGAAAGTGAAAGAAAAAGCAAGAAATGACTAGGAAGCTACGCTGCTTTTTGCGACGTTTTCCCAGCACGTTTGATGAGCTACGACGAAAAAAAAATCTGATGACCGAAACTTTTTATCTTCACTACTAGTTGAGGGAGCTTCGATTTGTAACGTGGAACATAGTTTCCATAGTTCTCTACTAACACACTGTCTGTGTTAATAAAGATACAATATATTAAGATGTGCTTTAACTCAATTCAAATACAGTGACGAGAGCCTTGTATGTACAAAGATTTCGTCCAGCGAAAATCTACAATTTTACAAAACCAAAATACCTGGAAGAGGGAAACGATAACACATTAAAGTCCAGAAGGATTCTCTCGCACTTAGAAGTGTAAATGTTAATTTAGATCAAGTAAAAAACTTGTGTCAAAATTGTCAGCTTATCCCTGTGAAAAGCTGCTTTACTCTTGCCAATCACCAAAGAGAAAAACAGCCTAGCTTCGTATCAAACAATAGCAGAAGCATTCATTTGAAACATCTAGCAGAGCAGAGAGGGTTTTCAGAATTCTATCAGCTATAAAAAATAGCTTCAGAAAATAAGGGAACTACATAAAAACGATTGTACTCTTTGATACAGTTACCTATGCCTCTCTCTTCGATCAGTCAAAAACATGTTCGGATATAAATCCTTCGCATTGAAAATAGCAATAATCACTTTGACAGCCGCGTATCTGAAATTTGATCACTGATGATCTGGCCGCAGTCACAGTCTTTTCATTCGCTGTCTGAATTTTTCTTGTTTTTCTTTCCCAGGATCTTCCTCAGGGACTTGTTCATGTAGTATGGCTTTTCTGGGGAGCCGTCATTCCGCTCAGAATCCTCCACTGCAAGTAACGAGAATAAAACAACAACAATTGGTAAATATAAGAGCGAGCGAGCGAGCGAGCGAATAAGTTACTGTATGAGGCCGAAAGTTTACTCGTAGCCTGAGCTTAATAGGAACAAACCTGATCTAAATCATTTTAAGTACTCTTAATATAAAAGAAAGTCGATTTTTGTGAACAGTGTCAATGATGGTTAGAACTAAAACTGGAAAAAAATTAATCTACTTCAAACAACAGTACTTTGCCAACACGGGACCATGTTTTGCAGTACCACTGAGTTTTGGTCGAGAAAAAAGGCACAAACACACTGAGGTTACACTGACGATGGTTTCGTTGTTGTACTTTAATTTGATTCTCAAGCTCGTCTCACTTTAGGCTCATTTCGGTAAACGGTCACTGAGTATTTTCAGCAACGTTGTGATCTGCACCGTTTTTTCTGTCGGATTTCTCAATATTGGGTTTCTTAGGGAGTCTTCAGCAAGACTTGTCATACCTACTACCCCAGAAAACACTTACAGAATGAAAGGAAGACCGTATCAATGGCCATGTTGTAGACACTGAAGAAAGCTGATGCTACCATGTAGGCGCCAACAACGATGATCTAACAAAACAAAATTACAGGAGAGTGAGAAGCACATCCACACCAGCGCGAGCCTATTCATTTCTTGGCGAATCAATCATCAAACGTGTATCAAATGTTTGTCATTTCTAACACCTTCTTTCTGGTTTTCTATCAGTTGGTAGGTCAGTCTATCAGAACAAATGTGAATGCGCATCTCGCATACACCACTTGTCACGCCTTCTGTCTGCTTGCCCGTCTACCTGTATTTCTGTCTTTCTACCTGTCTGTCCAGTCAAGCTGTCTGTCTAGCTGCTAGGTATGGCGTCCGTTACGGTAATCAGTGAAAGGAAAGCACTCCTAATGGTCACTTCATTTGTATTAACCCAAATACGAAAAACTCCTAAGCTATTCGGTTACGTCGTTGCCAAAAAACTTTTGCAAGTTGGCAAATATCGTCGTCATCCTTAAGACTTAAACAGTTGTACTTCTGTATTAAAAGAAAAAGAAAAAAAAAATTACAAAATACTTACAACAACAGGGGCTAAGTAATAGTTGAGGTTTTCTTGTCGTTCAAACCAGTAGAAGCTCCCAATACCTGTGTAAGGATAAACAGATAACTAATGAAAAACAATACAGCGACGGAATGGATAATGTTTAAACTAAAAACGACAGAACATAAACTGAATCCTTCGTTTCTATACATGATTCAAATTATACCTCGTGTCGAGTAGTTAAGGGAACGAATTCCAGTCATAAACACTCTTGAACAACCTACTGATATACACCATTTTGAAATGAGTTTACCCAGGCGTGCTTATCGCGAACAGGGTAGAAAGGTCACGACCGAACTAAAAAATACGTTTTCACCTCACGTCCAACGCTTGCAAGTGGCTGTTCACGCGTATAACTTGAATTTCAGTAAGGCACATTCAGCTACATTGTTTACGACTGAAATTAGGGACCGGTTCTTGAGGTAAAAATGGTTTTGATCGACCCTATTCGCAAATTGTATATTAGGGTTAAAAGCTCCATGCATGTTCGTTTAAGTGTAGGGCTAAAGCATATGCACAGAACAAACAATCAACTAACTTCCAAGCAATTGTTGAAGGCTGTAACAGAAAAAAGACAGACTCACCCAGGCCTGCGGTAATAGTTAACTGACCGAGAAACAGAACAAAGTCCGTTACTTTGTCCAATACGACGACTCTGCAAACGAAAAGAAATGATTAACACCCACAACAGAAATCAGTTTCCTCCACTAAATCTGTGTAATTCTCTCCACATATTTGTGGAAACTTGGTTTGGAGCATATAACTTCGTTATGGCCTCGTGTCTCTGTACCAGATAAAATTAAAATTATGGAAGAATTGCATCCTCAAATCAACTGAGACTTGCGCAAATCACAACCTATGATTCCGTAGATCTTATAAACTCGTTTCAACACACGATCAAGAAACTTCTTCTCCGACCTAACTAATCTTCTCACCTAGGTAGCCTTACCTCAAAATGTTCCTCATCAGGAGGAAAAAAGCATCTTTTGCTGAGACACAAAAATTCTTGCCGTGTACTGCAATCTGAATCAAACGAGTTGGCAAATCAATCCAAGCTTTGATATTTCTATTGTTTGTGGTTACACCAGTGGTGAGGCACACTCGAGCATAAATCTCAACCCTTCAAGTTAACTGCCATGAGTGACCAAGACAGAATTTCTCCTAACAATATCAATGCGATATCAAGCAGGCAAGTGATGAGAATAAAGAGGGAAATCAGTTCGGGAATAATTGGTTGATCCGACACCAAATTCCCCGAACTAACATCTTAAGAACTGTATGGCAGACAGCAAGGAGAATAACTAATGAGATCTTGGGAGTGAAAGGTTAAACCTGAGTAACTGTTCTGGACACTTCATAAAATCTGAAAGGAGAATAAGGAAAAAAGAAAATCAGGGGATTATCAGTTGATCCAATACCAAATTCTCCAAACTAACATCTTAAGAACTGTATGGCAGACAGTAATGAGAATTGCTCATGAGATCTTGGGAGTGAAAGGGTGAACCCAATGCTCTTTTAACGTGTGATTTATGTAAGCGTGCCGTATAATACGTGTTGTAGTTTCTAACTTACGCTGTCACACGTTAAAGTTTGTGAATAGTATAAAAATTAACAAATAATTTGGATATATCATCAAAGTTGAAATGGTAAATTGGCCACCGTAACGATTACAAAAGCTGACGTTTCGAGCGTTAGCCTTTCGTCGCTCCGACGAAGGGCTAACTCTCGAAACGTCAGCTTTTGT